GACCACTACCATGTTTACCTCTGGCTGTCAAATAAAGGCTCAGCTTGCCTTCTGTATCTCTTTCCGTGGCCTCAGCCAGGCACAGGGGATCCACCTAGACCCAGCTTATCTTTGTCTGTCTTTTCTTTAATCCTTCACCATCCCACCTCCCTACCCTCCAGCTCACCAAACTCTTGGCTGTGCTGGCCAGGCACACTAGCCAATATGACTATGCTCAGAGGTCAACCACATTCACTCCACAAATATTTATCGAGCACCACCTACGTGCTAGGAGCCTCTCTGGGTGCAGGGTTAGTGTTGGATGATGCAATATGCTTGAAAATATAAATGAGTAGGTAAGATCTCAGAGAGTGGCAATTGTGCTGAAGAAGTTAAAACAGATAATGAGATGAAGAGGTGCTACTTTGAGTAGAGTGATCCAGCAGAGTAACCTCTCTGAGGAGATGACCCTGGAACTGAGACCCAAGTGGGGGGAAGGATGGAGTCCCATGCAGCTTTGGGGGGTCCTCAGCTGGGGGTTCAAGTCTTGCATGACTCAGATGGTCTCCTTGCTGACAACTCGGTGCGGGCCTTGTCATAATGTTCCAGGGGCAGAGAGTGTGCATAAAGAGACCCCGTGTTGAGATGCAGCCTCTGCTTGCAACAGAAAACCTGAGAGAGGCAGTCAGAGGCCCAGAGGGGGAGGCCTCGGCTGTTGTGGGGCCTGGATGGGGAGTGAGGGTGAAGAGCAGCCACAGAACAGAGAAACAGGGAGCTGAGGATGACCCTGCCCCTCTGGGCCAGTGAGAAGGGGCATGAACTCAACCAGATTATTCAGAGGTCACGTTAACAGCCTGAAGGCTACCTTTTTTGTCTGTTCTGTTCATATGGGTGGTGGGGCCAAGTTGAAATGGGTTTTGAGTCTATCTGTGAAAGTTACTTTTTTTTATTATTTCACAATGGATTCCCACCTGTACAGGCAGGATTCTTTCTGTGCGTGACATTTTATTCCCATGAAAGGTACATTCATATCTTTCTCATTACCCTGAGTCACTGTTTGCTTTGGAGAACTAATTGATCTCTGTCCTCTCTTTAGTTAAATCTCCTTTTAGAATAACTTGAACTGCATCCATTTCTTAGCTTTTGTTTCAATGATTGTTCTTTCCTTTCAGCAAGTTTCTTAAAAATAATCCTGCCTTTTCTCAGATGGTATTTGAGACTGAAGGGCTGAGACAACTGTTCCTCTTGTGAGGTAACTGACTCAGCATGGAAAAGAAAAAAATCCCTCATTCTATTGTCCTAGTTGCTGAGCCCTGAGAGAAAACTCAGCAAACATCTCCCTGATGCAGCTACAGGGTAATGTTGGCAAATGGGATTAATCTGGGGGGGGGGGGTGTCTTAATTTGTCCCTTAAGGATTTGGATATTGTTAGCAGTTGTCATTCAGTCCTGACTTTCATGGGAAATAGAAGAAGGAGTAAATGAGGGGGAGAAAAATTGTAGCAACATCCAGAAAAATGAGAAATGGTATGTTCTCAAAGGATGAGGAAGGTTAGGAGTCTGTTATACAGTTGAAGTATCAATGCCCTCACTTCATACTTAGCAAAGATCTGCACTCGTTACTTCTCTCAACCAGTGTTTCTCATTACACAACATGATCTTCATTCTCTATATTAATTAGTTTACTGTCTTACTATTGGAATGTCCTCTCCACAAAAGCAAAGATTATTTTTTTTCCCCCCATAATGCCTATAACTGTGTCTTGCACATTATAGCTACCCAATTAAATATGTATTTTAATGACGTACACTTTCATTCAATTATTGAATATTCAGACATCATTATAAAACCATATAAAAGCATTTCTAACACACTTGGGATGGGCTACCTGCCTTCTATTATATGGTCTCCTAGGAATCTTTATGTCCTATCTTCTTATGCTAAATTATAACTGCCATTTAACCTGTCTGCCTGTATTAGTTTCAAGTTACTAATTTTGCAATATTTTGTTATGTAGCATGGCACAGCTGAGCTGGATCCTCTACTGAGACTCCTCAATGTGTCAGCCAAAGCTGAGGTCACATCTGAAGGCTCAGCTGGGGAAAGGTCTGCTTGCAAGATGGTGATGGCCAGAATTCAGTTCCATGGGGGCTGTTGGCATGAAGGCCTCAGTTGCTTGCCAGCTGGTGTCCAAAAGATACCTACAAATTCTTGCCATGTAGGCCTTTCTAACATAGCCCCTTATTTTAAACAACTATACAAGCTGAGAAGCAATAAGGTTTATTAACTTTTGAGAAATCTTAGAAAATAAGAGAGGTATTATCTTTTCCGTTGTAAAGGGAAGATGGGTTATTCAAACCATACTGTCAGGAGTGATATCAATTTCTAAAAATGTTTTAGTATGAGCCGAAACTGGTTTGGCTCATTGGATAGAGCATCGGCCTGTGGACTGAAAGGTCCCAGGTTCGATTCCAGTCAAGGGCATGTACCTTGGTTGCAGGCACATCCCCAGTAGGGGGTGTGCAAGAGGCAGCTGATAGATGTTTCTAACTCTCTATCCCTCTCTCTTTCTCTCTGTAAAATAATAATAATAATAATAATAAAATAAAATTATATATGTATAATATTAACAAAAGAAAACCATGAAACCTATAAAGAATTTTTGTGAGTTTATTTGAGCCAAACTTTCGACATATGCCGGGAAGCAAAACCTCAACGGATTGAGATAATGCTCTGAAAAATGGTGGGGTTACTTTTCTCTATTTATACACTGAAATCATAGGAGGGACATAAGTGGGTTACATGAAATTCATTGGTGATGGAGTAAGGAGGTGGGAGAAAGCAAAGCAGTGGGAAACTCCTGTGATTGGATAAAAAGTAAAATTATGGACAGGTATTCAGGTGAGTGCAGGAACAATTAACATGATAACGAAGGAATTTGAGGCATCTGTTCTGGCGCCCACCACATTTGGTTGTGCCCCAGGAGCTCCGGAAAAAGGGAAGCCACAAGTTACCCAGACATCTCACAGATATGTTATCTTAGAGGCAAAAAGGCAAATGGGCTCAGTACAAAGATTGAAATTGATCTTTGGGAAAATATCGGCCTAGAACGTGACTACCCACTATAACCTGTTTGTAGTTAGAATTTAATTTTCAAACCATCTTTTGTGGTTATTTTAGGTCTCTAAGTTTTAAAGACTGCCACACAGGCCTCCCCTGAGCTTGTCAGGTTAGCATGTGGCTCTTTTATTCATATATATATATATATATATATATATATATATATATATTTAAAATGAATGTTTTAGAATGATGTTTAAATGCAAGTTTTATGAGAACTTTTTAGCAGAGAAGTAGGAAGTTTAGGAGGCAGGAAGGACTTTACTAAGGAATAAATTGACACATAAGTTCCTGGGCTGCTGAATCAGGAAGAAGAAACAGTGTCTCAGCACTTCAAGGCATTTAGTGCAAAATACAGGTAAATAATGAAAGAGGGAGAATTAGGCAAATTGATAACCTGTTGAATGGTTTTCTCAAGGCTATTAATATCAATAGAGAGCATTTTCTTGAGACCTGACACAGAATTTAGCCCTAATTTTACAACGAAAATATAGAAAGTACACACATCAAATGTATAGTTTGGATAAATACTGAGTACATGGAATACTGGAATCTGGTGGAATTCTCACTTTGACCAGCCAGAGAGATGGGTTGAAATAAGATACATTACAATGTTACATCCTGTGGTTGGCTGCAAAACACCACTGCACAAATAAACACAGCATGGGGGAAGCTTGGCTGAATGGTAGCATTAAGCACAGTAACACTAAGGATGCTCTCGCCTTTATCTAGCAGAAATTACTTGTTTGTTGAGAGTGTAATTTCACAAATGGAGTTTTCTGAACGGCATTAATAGACAATAACACTGTGACAATGTGAGAACACATGGGAGAGAGTGATTCCCCCTACAGGATGTCATAATCCCAGGGACAGAGCACATGCTTTTAGGATAAGTCAGGGTCATAGAGCTGATGGGAACAAGGAGTTGCTTGAGTAGGCTGTTCCAGGAGGAGGCAAAGCTGAAACAAAGGCCAGTTTCTTTTCACACAATTTCTGCACAGAAATTCATCCTGGATGTCAGATAATTATTTTCTTGCCAAAAAATACTAAAAGAAAAAGACACAGAGAATCAGAAAGTGGGGTGAGGTTTTGTTACAGGGCAAAAGACAATGAAATTGGGGGCTGGGGTTCCTAAAGAATTTTGTAACATGTGTGCTGGAGACCAGGCATGGAGCTCATTTCAATAAATTCTGAATAAAGTCTTTGTTGATGGTATTTTGCTGCTGTTGTTAATCCTGATCCCAGAACATTTTTTCCATTGATTTTTTAAGAGAGATTGTAAGAGAGAAGGGGGAGAGAGACGTTAATGTAAGAGAGACATATAGATTGGTTGCCTCTGCCTCCACCTACATACCCTGAAGGGTCCGGGGATGAACTTCAAACCCAGGTATGTGTCCTTGACCGGAACCAAATCCTTCAGTGCATGGGCTGACACGCTAACTGTTGAGAAACACTGGCCAGGGCTTGCTGGTATTTTTGACCAAATGAAGGGTGAGGAACTTAACTAAGGTCCTCTAGTAGAATGAGAGTTTAGAGATGACCAGCCTAGTGACAATTGTGTTTCTTGTGGAATAAGTCTGCTGTGATTATCAAGTACAACTTGCCATCGTTAGTTGTATGTTGTTTTTTTAAATTAGGAGTCCCGGTGAGCAGTGCTGGGAGACAGCCTCAGCTCCTGTAGCGGGCGAGACAGTTCTCTAGCTCTTTCTGGGATCTGTGGCTGCCCAGACTTGGAAGATGCACGAAGCCGATGATTGGTTTCCTTGTGGAATCTGGGCAGCGGCAATCCCAGCCCTGCCTCGCCGGTGGTTGGTAGAAATAAATGATTCTGGAGCCTCGCCTTCCACTTGGCTTGCAGTCAGGTGAAGGAAGGGAAGTCAGCCAGCTTAGCCAAGACTGTAAATGGCGATGGACCCCAAACGCACTCATTCTGTGAAACTGAATGATGGCCACTTCATGCCTGTGCTTGGATTTGGCACTCTTACTTCTGAAGGTGTAAGTCAAACCCGGGGGACCAGCGGGTTAAATGCAAACAGCCCTACCAGGGCTGGCCTAGTACACAGGTGGCAGGGGGGCGAGGGCAGGGTTGGAGGGACTCATGTGGCCTCTATTTCACAACCTCTGACTTTGTGCTCAGTGGGATGATGAGCTGTTGCCTCTGAGGAATCAGAGTCAGATCCGATAATTCTGAGGGTGGATTGTATTATTATTATTATTGTTACTGTTATAGTTATTTAATGTATATCAAATGCTTACCATGTATTTTAAGTACATTACATGCATTATCTTTAATTCCTCAATAACTAGCCCAGGTAAGTGCTATGATTCTTTTTTTAAGTGCTATGATTCTTCTCATTTCTTACTTGTTTAAATTCTAAGCTCTGCTGCACTTCTTGGACCCATCTCCCCCTCAGAGCTTTGTTAGATTCCCTGCTGGGCAGTGGGCCCAGGAGGAGAGGAAACTAATGTGATGCTTCTGGCAGCTTTGCTGTGGGTTTATGGCGCTGGAAGTATTTGCCAGGGAATTCCTGTCCTTGAAACTTGGGTCCTACAAGGAGCCACTATCGTTATAGCGTTAGGCATTCAGAAAGGAAACCTGAGGAGGCACAAGTAACAGTGGAGACAGAATTGTGCTGATCATCAGATCTATTAGCCACATGTCCCCATGATGGACTGCAAAGCTCTTAGTGTCCAACTCTGGTCACGGTGGGGAAGAAACAGTTTTGTGGTTGCCTGGGAGGGATTGCCCCCATAAATGACAGAGATAAAGCCAATCTATCTTAGTAGAGCTATGACATTAAATATCAATAACAAATAGCCACCAGACAGTGAAGTCTGTTTGCAGTGACATAATTATCCATGTCTCCACTTTATAGTTTCAGCACATGGTATGTCTTACATAAATTATATTCAACTTTTATGACTCTCATTAAAGACAGAATAGAACAAAAGATCCCATAATCCCCTCCCAAGAATAAAAATAACATGTGCCTGGCGGGTGTGCTCAATGGACTGAGCATCTCCCCTGTGTATCAAGAGGTCACTGGTTAGATTCCTGGTCAGGGCACAGGTCTGGTTGCAGCTTACTAGTAGAAGCAAAGTCAGGGGCAGCTGATGGATGTTTCTATTTCTCTCCTGCTCTCCCTTCCCTCTCCCCCTCTCTCTAAAATTAAAAAAAAAAAATGTTTTTGAGAGGGCAGGGCAGGGCGAGGATGAGCTCCTGACTCCACTGTGGGGCAGGGCGGAGTTATCCTCCATTTTGTAACTGGACTCAGCCCAATCAGGGTTAGCTGAGGCAGTGACATCACCACTGACCAGAGTAAAACCCCTGGACTGGACAAAATTCGCTCTCTCTTCTGCCATGCTGCCGGCGTGAGTGGGAAAGAGCCCATGCTAGCATGGAAAAGGCTCTTTTGTTTATTGCATCGGACTCAGCTCCCTGGAGGTCCTTGGGGATCATGAAGTCTGGGCGTAACAGTTTTAAAATAGAAGTAACATGTGCATCTGCTTAGTGAGTACAAAAAGTGCTAAGTGAAATATATAGAATCTTCTTTTGCATATCAATCAGAGTTATTTTTCTAAAAACAACTTCCCCAACCTTATCAGCAATTTATCGCAGTTCAGGGCAGGAATGAGAAGTAGGGCCCAGCCATAGCTGGTTTGGCTCAGTGGATAGAAGGTTGGCCTGCGCATTGAAATTTGTGGGCTTGATTCCAGTCAAGGGCATATACCTTGGTGGCAGGCTTGATCCCCTGCTATGGTGGAGCATGTGTGGGAAGCAACCAATGTGTCTCTTACACATCAATGTTTCACTGTCCTTCCCTTCCACTCTATCTAAAAATCAATAAAAACATCTTGGGATAAGAATTAACAACAACAAAAAGTATGGTCCACTCTCCATGCATGTATGTGACTTCTTTTGTTCTGTCAGGTGTGTTTTCTTGGAATCGTGCAAACTCAATGTCTCAGATTTAGTCATTAGGAATTGCCATTGGCCACCTGAGGCAGGCCTTATACATGTCCTGCTGACTTGCCCACAGGCAATGCCTGAGTGGTGAGGGGAGGAGCAGCCACCAGCTCTCCAGGCACCTCCTGCATCCACCTGTTCTTGCTATGGAATCTCCTGATCTGGCTCAGGTGTCCTTTTGGCTCAGTCCTTTTACAGCATTTCTGGTGCTGGCCAAGGGAGAGCCTTATGTAACTACTAGTATGTGAAACCAGCCCGTTGATTTAGTCACCTCAGAGGCTGAGATAACTATTAGGATGAATAAGCAGTATTTGGCTTAGTAGAAAGAAAGAAACAAAGGCTTTTTTTATTTCATTTGTGTGGCTCTCAAAAGAATCCATGTAGAATATGTAATTATTAATTAAGAAATCAATTAACCAATTCCATGGTCAAGAGTAAACTTCAACTTGATATAAAAATCTATCCTAGCAATGAGGAGACTTTACACAGAACATAGTTCTGCTTTTCTGGTGTTTTGACAACTAGATAAAGACACTGAATGTCGGCTGAACAGCTACCCAACAATGCTTATATCACTAATGCCAGGGGAAGCTGAGGATGTTCAGAAAGACAGAGGCTGATGTGAGCTGCGGTATTCTGGGGAGGCTCCAAGGAGGAGGTGAGCTGAACTTTAGGAAGGCTGGATGTCAGACACAGACAATCTAATGAGCAGTGGGATTGCTCTATTCAAGTAGAAGAGCCATACTTCTACTGCAGTCTTTTTACAGAAGCTCTGATGCTGACCAAGGAACAGCCTCACACAGCCCCTCCCCATATGTGAAACAGAAGACACAAAGGACTGAAGACAGAAGGACAGAAAATTGCCTGGTATAGAGAGAATAGACTTCAGGCAGAGTTCTAATATTTTCCTGTGGGGAAAGGGAAATTTATTTAAAGACCTCTTTTAACACTTGGAATGAGCCCTGGCCAGTGTAGTTAAGTGGTTAGAGGATCAGCCTACACATCGACGCATTGTGAGTTTGCTTCCTGCTCAATGGCATGCACCTTGATTGCAGGTTTGATCCCTCACATGAAAGAGGCAACCAATCCATGTGTCTCTCTCACATGAATGTTTCCCTCCCTCCTTCCCTCCTTCCATCCATCCTTCCTTTCCAATCACTCTGAAAAAAATCAATGGAAAAATATCCTCAGGTTAGGTTAGGATTAACAACAACAACAACAAAAAAACAACAACATTGGGATAAGATTTAAAAATTATTCATGATTCTAATCATGATAGATTATTCATTCAGTAATGAATCTATCTATAATGCAATAACAACAACAGCAAAACTAAGACTTGTAACACAGACTTCCTACACTGCTCCAATTGGGACAAAGGCCTTTCTTGGGTAATCACTTGCAGGTCTGATCACCTGGTTATCACACTTTTTCTTGCCTAGTGGTACCGATGACCTGAACAGTGAGCAAGGGTTTTTCTCTTGGGATTGTGTCACATGAGGCCAAAGAATGAGCTCTGCAGAGCAAAAGATATAAGCAAAAGTGTGGGAAATTATTATAGCAGATTCAGATTCAGACTCCCTTCATGGGGAGGGAGCACAATAATAGGCTGTCCCCTAAAACCTAGTAGTCCAGGGATATATATTTGCTACAAGCCTGCTCCCATATTTACCCAATAGAGGCTCAGTGCACAAAATTTGTGCATGGGGGAAGGGGTGTCCCTCAAATCAGCTGCAACATCTCCAATTTGGGACCCCTCAAGGGATGTTCAACTGCCCATTTAGGCCTGATCCTACCGCAATCGAGCCTAAATAGGCAGTTGGACATCCCTCTCACAATCCAGAACTGCTGGCTACCAACTGCTCCCCTGCCTGCCTTCCTGATTGCCTTTAACCACTTCTTCCTGCAGCCTGATCACCCCCTAACCACTCCTCTGCTAGCCTGTTGATGCCTAACTGCTCCCCTGCCAGCCTGTTTGCCCCTAACTGCCCTCCCCTGCAGGTCTGGTCACACCTAACTGCTCTCTCCTGAAAGCCTGGTCCCCTCAAATTCCCTTCTCTGCCAGCTTGGTCATCCCTAACTGCCCTCCCCTGCAGGCTTGATCATCCTGAACTGCCCTCCCTTGCAAGCCTGGTCCCTCCCAACTGCCCTTTCCTGATGGCCATCTTGTGGTGGCCATCTTGTGTCCACATGGGGATAGGATCTTTGACCACAAGGGGCAACCATATTGTGTGTTGGGGTGATGGTCAATCTGCATATTATTCTTCTAGTAGATAGGATAGAGACCTGGTGCATGGGTAGGGGCCGGCTGGTTTTCCCTGAAGGGTGTCCCAGGTCAGGGTGGGGGTCCCGTGGGGCATGGGGCTGCCTGGGCGAGGAGCTTCTGGTGGTTTACAGGCTGGCCATGCCCCCCGGTGACCCAAACAGAGGCCCTGGTATCTGGCATTTATTTATCTTCTACAATTGAAACTTTGTAGCCTGGAGTGGAGCCAATCCTTCTGCTAACTCTGTGGCAGCAGCTCTTTCTGTTGGGCTTATATATCATCTATAATTGAAACTTTATAGCCTTAAGTGGAGGCCTGGGCCTGCTATGGTGTGTGGAAAGCTTGGCTTCCTCCATTGCCAGGGAAACTCAAGCTTCTCTCCTGCTCTTTGTGGCGGTAGCCATCTTGGTTGGGTTTATTTGCATATCTGCTCCTGATTTGCTGGTGGGTGTGGTTTTGTGGGCATGGCTTGTGGGTGTAGCGGAGTGATACATATTACCCTTTTATTAGATAAGACTAGAGACCCAGTGTACAAAATTCCTGCATTGTGGGGGTGGGTGTCCTTCAGCCCCGCCTGTACCCTCTCTAATCTGGGACCAGTTGAGGGATGTCTGACTGCTTGTTTAGGCCTAATCCCAGACATCCCTCTCACAATCCAGGACTGCTGGCTCCCAACTGCTGACCTGCCTGCTTTCCTGATTGCTCTAACCACTTCTGCCTGCCAGCCTGATCACCCCCCAACCACTCCCCTGCCAGAAACCACTCCCTGATAGATGCCTAACTGCTCCCCTGCCAGCCTATTTGCCCCTAATTGCCCTTCCCTGCAGGCTTGGTCCTCCACAGCTGCTCTCCCCTGCAGGCCTGAGTCCCCCGACAACTGCCTTTCCTTGCAGAATTGGTCACCCCTAACTGCCCTCCCTTGTAGGCCTGGTCTAGTGAAAGGAAAAGTGTTTTAGTGTTCAATGATCCCAAAACTGAGGATGGGAGAAAACAGACAGTTTAAGATTAAGCTCAGTTCATAAGTATAAGATAAAATTTTGAAACAATTAATTGGAATCAACTCACAATTGTGTATTATGGAGTCTGTTGAAATATAATCTTTCTCCCCAAATCACCCTTAATCTTATTAAAGACCAATTCATTTATTGTATTAAGTCCAGTTTCAATCTGGCCTAATTGTTTGTATGAATATAATAAGAACAGTAATGACTGTACAAGCTCTTTTAGAATCTGTTTTGCTGGAATCCCATGAACGAGCTTTAATGAGCCCCTCAGGGCAAAGAAGCTGAGCCACCCAGTTGCTTGCAATTCCTCAAGTGAATTCCAAAATGTCTTGAGACTCCCTTCTTGCTAACTCTCAGGAAAGCAGCCTTGGTTCCTTACTTGGAAAGACTGACATTGAACCATGTAACCAAGCTCGATACCAAGGTGTTCTCCAAGGTGTTCATATTGGCTTCAAGTATCCTGGTGACATTCAGAGTCCAAGCATGTCTCTCTCAGACACAACACTCCAGCAAAAGTCTTGGTAAATAAAACTATCATTGGAAACTGGTCTTGCTGAATCCGTACAAAGAAACACATTACTATGACCTATTTATTATGGATTGCTAAATTCTGGAGGGATTAGGTGGGAGAAAAACATATAATTTACTAAAATGTTTTGTTTCCTTGTATCTGAAAAACAAAGCTCCAAATTAGGAATACCTTTAACAAAAATCACAAAACCTGAAGTTTGTCTTCTCACATTAATGAATTTATATGAGAGATCTTGACTCTATTGTGAAAAGCCAATTTATCAAAGCAATTAAAGAGTACATCTTTATTGAAGAAGTGAAGTAAGTAAAGCTATACATCTGGCTCATGAAGTATACTAGTAGATGAAACTCCAACCAATCTAAAGAGCAATCTAGGTGAGAGCCCAAGGTATTACACTGAGTGGCCAGATTATTATGATCTCCGAATACATAATAATCTGGCCACTCAGTATATGGATTCATGCATGGGCAGGGTCTGGTTAGCCTTGCCAGGAGGAGGGGACATGAGCAGTTGGCCAATCTGCCTGCTGGTCAAACTCTTGGTTGAGGGGGAAATTTTCACATTAGCCTTTTATTATATAGGATATACTCTGAGTGGTCAGATTATTATGTGTTCAGAGATCATAATAATATGGCCACTCAGTGTATATACCTTCTTGTCTGTAGATCTCAAAACTGCTCTATTGAATATTCTGGTACAGATCAATTCCTAAGATTCCCTATTATTATTATTATTTTTTATTGTCTTTTCAGAAATCATGAGATGTAACTTTACCTTACCAAGCCTTGAACTGCAGGCCTCTGTGCCTAGGGAGTAAAATGTCCTTTTTTTTTTTTCCCCTCTCCCCTTCATCCCTCTCTTTCTATAGGGAGGTTTATAAAAGTTGTTGTTTTTAACCATTTGCTTTGGGTCCTTGTCTGGGGAAGAAAATGATTTGTTAGTTACAAGCTGATTGCAAATTGCCCACATCGTTTGCCTTTGATTTTACTTCCATTTAACATTTTTCCTTATAAGCCTTTTATAATTTTCACAAACCTTTTTCCAATTTTCAGGAATAGCTAATTTTCTGTGCATCATGCTTTTTATTACCTAAATCATATAATTTCCAATTAATAATTCTTAGAAGCCTCAATCCTCAATAACCAAGAAAAGCAAACAACCAGCATTCCTTAGATTGACCCTTATGAACATATTTTAAATATTTTTTATTTATTTTTTTACAGAGATGAAGGGAGAGGGACAGAGAGTCAGAACCATCAATGAGAGAGAAACATTAATCAGCTGCCTCCTGTACACCCCTGCTGGGGATGTGTCCACAACCAAGGTACATGCCCTTGACCAGAATCAAACCTGGGACCCTTCAGTCCTCAGGCAGATGCTCTATCTACTAGTCAGGGCTATGAACATATTTCAAACATACTTAGTTTCAAACCATATTCCCAACAAAGCAAAAGACATTATATAGCTCTAAATCCATTTTACACTTTTAGCAACAAAGATGAAAGCAGATGATCTAGCAGTCAAAGCTGTAATGAGTTAATCTGATCTGTAAACGTGGCCAAGTTTTCCCCACAAACATACTTTTGAAGAGGTCCCAGGTACTGACGTTCAAAGGTCCTAGGAACCACAGGGAGCACTGTAGAAAGTGCTGAAGGGCCTAGAGCACTGCTGTAAACCCGAACCCTGCAGTCCTCCTTCATTCTGTCTGGTGATCTAATGCCGGTTTGATGTGGAGAGGTTGAATTTCTGACTGAATCCCCAAAACTGATAACCAGAAATGTGAGTCAAGGTTTTTCTCCTGTGGTCATATCACACAACGCCGAAGCATGAGCTCCGAAGACCAGAAGATTTAAGCAAAGTGTGGAAAATTTATTTCAAGCAGATTCAGACTCCCCTCGTGGGCCTCGGGGTGACTAGGAGGGGTAATAAAAGGCTGTCCCATAAAGCCTTGTAGTCCTGGGGTATATATTTGCTACAAGCCTGCTTCCATATCTATCCGTGTTGTGTCACCTGATTGATTCCCTCAATTGTTCTTGCCCAGAAACTGACCTGAACTTTCCCTGTTTGTATGTGTTCATTCTCTGTTTCTGTCAGGGACCAGCCTGATGGTTGAACTGGGCTGAGGTAGGAAGGTGGGAATTGAAAAAAGAAAGAAAGATAGGAGAGGGGGATCGGGAGGAGTCTGCTGGTAGTCATTGACTGACTGCAGCTACTTTTATTAACTGTGTAATACCTTTTATGCACAAATACTGAATGGGAGGTCAACAAAGAGGAATGTACTCTCTGTTTCTCTTAATCTCTAAGATAAAGCAGGAAGCCAAATTCTCGGTAAATATTTACAGACTTCTGATAAGCTATGAAAAGTCGCTCTTATTCTCATTCTGCTGACAATAGGAAAGTGCCATCAAAACAAGTCAGATGAAAACAAGTCAGGGGACATTGCGTGGGAAGGGACTGATTCTTGTTCAGCTTACACCGATCTCCAGCATGTTCCTATGCTGAACTTTGTGTTTCTATGTGTTCATACACCTTGTTGCTGCAGGTCCTCTCTTGTTTACTCATGCCTTCTGTTATGAGTCCAGAAACATTTTGTTATTTCTGCATGGTTGGTTTCTGTGATTAGGTTTGTTCAAACTGCTATGTCCCACATGCCTTTGTTTTCCACTGAATCTCTGCCTACCTGCCTGTGTTTCATGTTAACCTTCTCAGTACTTGCTAACATTGTTTATTCATAGTTATTACTAGCAGTAGAAGCAACAAGAGCTGCCTTAGTGACTTGTCTGAACTCCAGACATTCTCCTCCCTGCCACCATCACATAGAGGCCACTCTGTCTTCTTCTGAAAAGCAGGATCAAGTACCATCATCCATATAGTAATCTGCTGTTAAACTCAGGCTCTCCTGGCATGTGAGCCCAGAATGACTAGGGGTAGGTGGAACCCCTTTTTGTGTCACCTGGTAGAAGGTTTCCTCCACTGGCAGATGCTAAAATTGAGCAAACAGGGCAACATAAATTCCCTCAGTGGGAAACATGGAGTGAGGATGAGGGTGTGCCTGTGGAACAAATTCTTTATTGAATGACTTAATTTTCCACGTTGCCTGGTGAAGTCCATTACACTAATTCATTGCAGATTAGAGGATATATTGGAGTTTAGTCTGTGCCCCCAGGGTACAGGTTTGTAGCCAGGGCTTGCCCCATCAAACAGGGAAATAGAAGGCATGTAGAAACAGCTGGCAAACATACTCTTAGGGAAATAAGTTGCATCTTTCTGAGTCAAGGCAACTGCCGACCATCCTTCTTCATATTTTATAGGTTCCTAAGAGCAAGGCTGCTGAGGCAACCAAAGTGGCAATCGATGCAGGTTTCCGTCACATCGACGCAGCATATGTCTATGAAAATGAGGTGGAGGTCGGCAAGGCACTTCGAGAGAAGATTGCGGATGGCACTGTGAAGAGAGAGGACCTATTTTATACCACCAAGGTACTGTGAGCGAGTGACAGGAGGTCTTTGTCAGAGCACGTAGGCTATTTGGAAAAAAAACAAATACAAAACAAAAATTCTGAACTTGGTTCGAGTAATTTATTTATCACCTGATATTGTAAAGTCTCATTATAGAAAAACAAGAAGAAAAGGATTGCTCTGCTGGGATAGTGTTAAGGGTGGGGCACAGTTGCTCAGACTCTTGGAATAAGGGTCAGCATTCATATGTAAAACACAAATAAAAACGCTTTGCTTCTCCATCTGCTCATGAATTGACTGAGCCACTGCAGAGTGGGTTCACTCTTTTCATCCTTCAGCAAATTCTCTCAGCACATATCCATGTGAGGTTGACATATTATTCTGAGAGGGGAACCGGACTAGGAAAGACTGTTTCCAAGTCAGCGCTGAATTTACTGACATTTGTAAAACTTTTCTTAGGTGGAAAACCCTGCTTCCAACACAAAGAGAGCTGAGGTCTCTATGGTCCTGTGTGTGTCCACATCATTGATGATTTGTTTTCAGAATGTGGACCTCTCAGTGGTCCTACTTCCACGCATTTCCTATGTAGGGCAATTGAGTCCATGTCCCCTTGCCTGATATTTCTTGACTTTCAGAAATGTGTTTGTTAATCCTTGAAACATTTAGGTTGCTTTTCCTGGCCCATCTATACTTTATTGACAGTTTTCTTACAGTCACTCAGATAAATCTCAATATCCTTATTAAAAGCCTCATTTACAGTAAGTAACATAAATTTAGCCCCAGAACTTTCTACTTTGAGACCACCACAGTGGTTGGTTACTCACTGCTCAATCTCTTAACCATGAAGTTTAATTTTTGTTCCCAAATGTGTGACATCATAAACAATTAATTTTTTTTTGTTTTGTTTTGTCATTGCAGCTTTGGTCTACTTTCTTTCGACCAGAATTGGTTCGACCTGCCCTGGAAAGGTCACTGAAGAAACTGCAACTTGACTATGTAGATCTATACATTATTCATATACCAATAGCTATGAAGGTCAGCTTTTGTTTTCCTTGTTATGTCCAAGTGTATTTCACATCAAAGAGTTGAAGACACTGCCCTCCATGTCTAAGTGATATGCTCCTCCTATTAAAGAGGGTCTCAAGAAAGCTGAGTTACAAAAATAGTAGAAACACAATGAAAGTCTATACCTTTTTAGGGGGAGGGTCCCTTGCTTATGGACCTCTGAGCCCAGTCAAGAGGGAGGCACTGTAAGATGGTCCATATTGGTATACTGGGCTCCTTTGAATATCACAGATCCAGCCTCTCATCATTGGACATTTGCTGAGCACATCTGGTGATCTCACTATCTCTAAGTTGGGTTAACATAAACTGGAATTAAAACACATTCTTAACAATAAAGTTAAATCCTATCATCCAAACAAGCCTGTCCTTGGGAAACAAAATCAATTCTAACCGTAGGTGAACTCATTCTTAGTGGAATTTGGGGGAAGTGTGTGGACAGGAAAGTGGAGGTAAATTGGAAAGAGTTACTTCAACTGATTTTGATCTTCCTTTTCCCCAATGTCTTTTTTTACATCACACACACACACACACACACACACACACACACACACACACACACACACAGCTTAGTAATAACAGCCTCTTGGAAGCTGTGTTACCAAGCTACCTAGGCATGAGGAAGATCATTCTTTAAAAAAATTCTTTCTTCTCCCTTCCCTGTATTCCAGCCTGGAGAAGAGCTTATGCCTAAAGATGCCAATGGGAAATTGATTTTGGAGACAGTGGACTTGCGTGACACCTGGGAGGTATGTACTGCTACTGCCACCCAAAGACAGTGGGATAAGGTGGACATTAGTGCAAGGGGATCAGAAGAAATGGGTTCTGGCTCCATCCATTGTCTGTCCTCAGACATGTCAACAAACTCTTCTGTAGTTTGGTGTTCTCATCTTTAGAGCAGGGAGTTGAACAGGATCACAGCTAAGGTCTACTTTAAAAATGTTTTAATTTTTTTTATAGGGGAAGGGAGAGGGAGAGATACATAGAAACATCAATGATGAGAGAATCATTGACTAACTGTACACCTTACTCTGGGAATTAAGCTGGCAACCCAGGTATGTGCTCTGACCATGAATTGAACCTGTGACCTCCAGGTTCATAGGTCAATGTACAACCACTGAGCCATGCCTGCTGGGCACTAAGGTATTTTAATGTAAACTTCTGTGGTCCTAAGTAAGAGTTTCTTTGCCACACTTAACTGGTTGAGTCTGTAAATTCTAAAAGAGGCATGTTCATAAGCAAACTCCAGAGGAGTTAGAGCTCTATCCCACGACAGATAAACACACCAGAAAGAGGGAAGCTATTGTCTGCTTAGCAGGAGGAGAAAAAGCCTGCCTTCTACACCCTATTCCATACACTTGTTTCACTATCCCAGGAAAGAGCAAGCATAAAAACTTTTAACTAGTGGAAAACCTAAGAGTTCCTCTTTGCCCTTAACTATGACACCATGTGTTACATACCTAACAGCAAATTACACACCACGGAAGAGGGAGGGAGATGAAGAGAGTTTAAAAGCATCTTAATATCTATGTATTGCATGTCACAGACTCAAGGACAAAAGCTGTGTGTACGTAGCCATAAAGTACAGTAGGAAAAAACATGTCCAAGTGATAAAGCGGTTTGGTTCAGTAACATAATTATGTATGTTAAGACAGATTTCCAGTTTTTACAAAGTTCACTGTCAAATGAAAGGGCTGAACTATACTAAAGATTTGCCTCACATGACCTTCTCCCTAGGCTCTGGAGAAGTGTAAGGATGCAGGTTTAACCAAGTCCATTGGGGTGTCCAATTTCAATCGCAAACTGCTAGAGATGATCTTGAACAAGCCAGGGCTCAAGTACAAGCCCGTCTGCAACCAGGTGAGTGCATGACCATGGCAACTGTTTTGCTTTCTGCCCTTCACATCCTCTTTCTTATTTTTTTTTTAAATGTGTATTTTCATTGATTCCAGAGAGGAAGAGAGAGGTAGAGAAAGATAGAAACACCAGTATTGAGAATCATTGATTGGCCGCCTCATGCCCGCCCCCTACTAGGGATTAAGCTTGCAACCTGGGCATGTTCCCCGACTTGGAATTGAACACTGACCTCCTAGTTCATAGGTCAACACACAACCAGTGAGCCACCCTGACTGGGCAACATCTTTTTTCTTGATTAAGTGTCCCCAAGTTTTTGGCTTGATGCCAACTGCACAGATAATTGTTCTTTTTATAACAATAGGAAATTTCAGGGAAGGAACATGTTGAATGGATTGGGGAGATCATTACTTCAGTTATTCAGAGATGGATTGGAGGTTCCCAGGAGATATCCAAGTAGAGATACTGAGTTGGTAGGTGGTAGTGTTGGTCTGGAGCCCCAGGCAGGCTGTCAGGGCTAGAGGAGAGGCCCATATTTTGGAGCCATTGCTTTACGGATGGCAATTGAACTCAGAAAAATGTATTCCCACTCCTAAGGAACTTCAAAAAATGAACAGGAAGAGGGAAGGAAAGTCAACATTTAAAAATTAGACAAAGAGGCACTGGTGAGAGGATTGAGCAGAAGTTGGTAGATAGGGAGGAAGAAAATGAGACTGTGTGGTGTTAAGGAAACCAAAGAAGACCCTTGAAAAGGTTTGCATGAGCCATGGCCTGGAGACTGCTGGCAGCAGCCAGTCTAACTAGGGATAGAAAAAGTAGGGGGTTTTATGACACAGAGTTCATGGGCAACATAGCAGGGGCAGTTACAGAGTGGTAAGGGGAAAAGCCTTAAAGAGAGCAAACCAGTGGAAAGTGAGGAAGTGGATAACTCATTTAAAGAAATAATTTAAAAAATAACAATGCTGCCAATGTCCAATCACTATGATATTATAAAGTTGTATATCCCTTTTTTGAAATAGTTTGAAAATCATGCAAGAAACCAGGCAAATATTTATACTCTTCATTTTACTTAATTACTTCTAGAAATATATTTGTAGAAAATGATTCATAATGTATAAAACATGTCTCTCACTTCAATATGTAATTGTGAATTCATGAATTTCAACAAATATAGTTACTTTCTTACCAATGATTGAATTGTCATCATTTTAACCAGAAGATGCTTTTGACAACACTTCATGTTTTTTCTGTCCTCTTTCTTTTCTAGAATGAAAAAAAAATGTGCTAGGCTCAATTTGTAGCTTTTCTGTTCAGTATTGGGATCAGCCATTTTTCTAGGAATCTTAGTTTCTTTCTATAGGAAATTAAATTTGGAGGTCACAGAGCAGGTATAAGTCTTTAATAATTTCAAGCACTAATAAAAAATAAGAAAATCATTTTATCACATCTGAAAACTAATAGCATTTAAAGGTATTTCAGAAGATGCATGAGAAAATGACCAATCTGGAAAATGTGGTACATATATTATTCAAAGGCTTTTCAAATTTACATGATATTGGTTCATGTATTCTGATACCTTCTGGTCTTGGCAATTCACAGGTGGAATGTCACCCGTATCTCAACCAGAGCAAGCTCTTGGAATTCTGCAAGTCCAAGGACATTGTTCTTGTTGCCTACAGTGCCCTGGGATCCCAAAGAGACCCAAACTGGTAATGTGAATATCAGAGTTAACCTCTGTCAGCAACTCTATTAGTGGTGGAGCACTTTTTAAAATTAAGCTTTCTTTGGGGCTTAGGTAGGGGGTGGGAGGAGGCTGGTAAAGTGGGAGGAAGGGATGGGAGACATCTTTAATATTATCAACAATAATTATATATGCACATATAAAATAATTAAATTAAGCCTTAATATTTTATTATGGACAACTTCAAACATAAAAAAACCAACACAATAGTGTAGTGAGGTCCCTGTCACTGAACTTCCACAGTCATCGCCATTCCTTCATTCTTGTTTCATGTATACTCCAAATCCCACTCTAAATATTATTTTATAATATAATTTACACAGCTTGTCATGCATTAATATTGGTGATACAATGTTGATGCACTATACTAGACATATTTTTCTTGATTATTTTGGGAATTTGGGGGGAAAGGAACAGCACACTTTAAATTTCTGGTCCTATACCCTTCACATGTACATGCTCTGCTTTTGTTTTCAGGGTGGAAAAGGATTGCCCCATTCTCTTGGAGGAGCCGATCTTGAAGGCCATTGCCAAGAAACACAATAGAAATCCAGGTCAGGTGGCCCTGCGTTACCAAGTGCAGCGAGGGGTAGTGGTTCTGGCCAAGAGCTTCAGTGAGAAGAGAATCAAAGAGAACTTCCAGGTACAGGCTGGCCACTGTCTCTCCAGAGTGAGGAACAGGTGCTGTACTTGGGGCCATCTCTCTTGCCTTTCAGCACGCACCCACATTCATTCCTTCCCATGCATCTCTCCCCTGTGCTATGGGGGCAGCTTGGAAGAGTGAGAGAGACAGCACTGGCCTCAGAGTCCTAGGTTTTATGGTCTGTGGGCCTGGCTTTGCTGCTTCCTAGTTGTGTGACATTGAGCACACATCATTGCTGTATTTTTCATCAGTTTTAGGAGTCTTTTCCTGCAGTAAAGCACTTTTCAAACCCTGATTCTTCTTTTTCATCTTCTCTACTGAATAAACTCCTTTTTGTATTTCAATATCAAACCCAAATAGGATTAGCTGCTTTGTTAAGCCATTGGTATACCCCAGCACAGTTGTGGGTCACTATAGCACTTGGCATGGCGCCGTTAGTGATTTTTTTTCCTTATGAAACTAAAATTGCTTGTTTATATGTCAGTATGCCCTCTAGATTGGGAGACCTTAAATGCAGTTACTCTTTTGAGGTCATCTTTTAACATCTTTTCCCCAGAAGAGCACATGGCAAGTAGGAAACTACATACAAGGTTATAGAATGACCAAATTAACAAATGAATATATTTTTTAAAATTAACCTTTATGAATATTTCTCCATAAACTCTCCCTCATATATCTTCTGGTCCCTTGGATTAATCAGTGATTTTCAACCTATTTAGCTGTGAACTTCATGAGAAACTATGTAAATTCTATTGTGTTTTGAAGATGACAGCTAACAATTTCATCATGAGTTGAATATTTGCAGAATATGACATTTAGAGCATACTATTTATCATGCATTTGCTTCAAAACATTGAAACTGTATATTTAGTTTATTCCTTTTATGCAAATATTTATTAGGCATATCTAAATTTTATTGTTAAACCCAATCAGAAAAATCCCATTTTATTTTTTAGTTCAACTCAACATGCTAATATATATATGACAACCAAGTCATTTCTGGAGTACATTTTTAAGAAGAATAAAGGATGAATAGATAGATAAAATAGGTGGATAGATCTATTATTTCTTATCAAAGATGTGTCTGCTTTGCTATTAATTGATGCTCCATTAGGGGAGTGTCCATTATATCATCAAGCAAAAACAAATTGGACTTAAGTAAGAGATACTTTATTTGAAAGGAGGCCTTTCTGAATGTTGGGACTATAAGTGTCTCAAAGATAAATCAGAAAGGTTTTCCTTTTATAGGGAAGTAAGCCTGACTAGAGAGAGAATGAGGAGTTGTTGAATATTCAGCAAAAACTTTTCTTGCGGTCAGTAGCTTCTTGAAGAGGCCTTCATAGGGGTTTGCTCTTCCAAAGCTTGCTTAAGCTTGAGGCTCTGTCAAATTTTAGAGTGTTTGTATGGCAGAGTGGAGGCAAGAACTAAAGTTTGATCTGGTCTGCAGATAATCTGTCCAGATTATTCAATTATCTGTTTATTTAGGAGGGAAAAGTTTGTTTTTTTTCTGTTGGCAAACAACTCACTTAGAGAGATTTGGGGTCAATGATTTATAAAAGTCTTTTTTTTTTTTTTTTTTTTTTTGTGGAGTGAGCAGAGGAGGAGAGGGAGTGGGACAGGAGCCATGGTGAATCCAGGAGGGGAGTTCTCAGGCTAGTACACCCACAAGTGATGACAGCAGATGCTTCCCCAAGTGTTCTCTGGGTCTCTGTCCACCAGGAAGTCCTCATGTTCCCAGGTAGATGCTCCCTGCCTTAGGGGAGATTTTAATGTGATTTTTGCCTTCCTTCTAGGTTTTGGAGTTTGAATTGACTCCAGAAGACATGAAAGCAATTGATGGTCTGAACAGAAATTTCCGATTTTTTAAATTACCATTGTAAGTGACTTGTAGATTGTTTTTCCTGGGTTCTTTCCTATAATATGTAGGTTAGCAGAGGGACTCAGCTTCCTTAAATAGAAAAGATGGGCCTGATTTCTACTGCAGAAGTAAATCTCAAGCTACCTGGTATCCTCAGACCAGAGGTTTACTCCAGGTTCAATCTCTGACCCAACAGAAATGTGAGCAGGGCCCAGAGCAGACCATAGGTAAAATGGCCAAAGTTTGCATCAGGGTGAATGCATGACTTTGATGCGCTAATTCCTGTGCCTGGTATACATACCCCCACTAGATCTGACTTACCCATTTGACATAAAAGGCTCAGTGCCTACTGCCCACTATACTTCAGGGGTGCTGATCCTATCTAATAAAAGGGTAATATGCAAATTGACCACTATCCCAACACGCAAGATGGCCACCCCATGTGGACACAATATGGCCTCTACAAGATGGCCAACAGGGGAGGGAAGTTGGGGAGGCGGGGGGGTAGACCAGGCCTTCAGGGGAGAGTAGTTGGGAGGGACCAGGCCTGCAAGGGAGGATAGTTGGGGGCAATCAGGCATGCAGAAGAGAGCAGTTAGGGGAGATCAGGCCAGCAGGAGAGGGCAGTTAGGGGTGATTGGGCTGGCAAGGGAGAGTAGTTAGGGGTGACAGAGCCAACAGAGAAGGGCAGTTAGGGATGACTGAGCCAGCAGGGAAGGACAGTTGAGGGCAATCAGACCTGCAGGGGAGGGCAGTTAGGGGGACTGGACCAGCAAAGGAGGGCAGTTGGGGGTGACCAGACTAGCAGAGAAGGACAGTTAGGGGCATTTTTTAAAAAAGGTTGGGTTTCAAGAGAAAGATCTTAAAACTCTCTTGTTTGTAAAGCTATTTGTGAATTTGAGAAAAGACATAAATGAAAAAATGTGGGAAGTAACTTTCTGCTCCCAGGGCTTTTAAGTCAGTCTGTGATCTTTATTAGGCCTGTGATTATATGCACCTGTCTTCCTAGACCTTGGTCAATAGCACAGGCCCTGGCACACACAATTTCTCAGAATGCACTCTTCAATGAAATAAAATCAGAAAGGACAAATTTTAATAGGAAAATAAGAACCTGGACAAGTTAGTAAATGATTATCCCTCTTTCTCTTTCAGTGCTGTTGATCACCCTTATTATCCATTTTCTGAAGAATATTGACCATCAACTATCTACCATGAGTTCTTCCTGAATCTCCTGCTTCCTGGGGTGTGCAGAGGATTTCTGCACGTGGGAGAGGTGATTAAAAGCAATTCTGAAGTTTCATTCTGCTTCCCTGTCTTCTTTTTAAAATTCTTTTTATTTTGTGAAATAATAAATACTTCCAAATAAGGATGTTTGTCTTTATTGAGAATTAAAATAATATATACAACTGACAGAAAATTGGGACAATAAAAGGGAAAGAAAGGAAACAAAGATAATGTGTACTTAGCATATTTATAAATTCTAGAACTTGGGGGCATTTCATTCATGATTTCCCTATACAAAATATATGTGCTCATTTGCAACATTGAAATAATCTTCAACCTACAGGTTGTATACTTTTTTCTTCTTAGCATAAATATTTTCTCCAAGTAACCAAATGTTATTTTAAAATTCCAGAATCTTATTATTTAATTTAATTTAATTTAATTTAAATCATCTGCCTACATTTTGGCATTGTGATTAGTTCTCAAATATTTTGCCATTCATTCATTTATTTAGTACACCTTCATTGAACATCCTTTATGTGCCATTGTTTTCCAATAAATAACATAGACAAGAATTAAACTCAAATAAGAAATGTCGAGGCATGCAGTTGGAGCAGCAGGGAGTGCTAAAGAAGGTAGGAAGGAGGAGAGTGGGAGCACTTGAGGGAGAAGAAGGCCCACTGTGTTTATAGCAGGCACAGGTTTTAAGTGCCCTCCCCAGACTCAGGCTCCAACTCTTATGGAAGAGAGTGAGACTATTCTGGGTCCAGCTGTGGTGCAGCAGGAGTCTTATCTTGTTTGGGTTGCTGGAGGGAAATTAATGGTCTGTTTTTCTGTAGATAGCACCAGTGGAAGAGCTGAGAGCCTGAGTATGTGAGGGAGCATTGACAGCAGGCTGAGAGAGGGAATGGCGATGGGGGGTTGAGGCAGTGACCAGCTTGGTACTGGCACAAGAACAAACATATAGATCAATGGAATTGAATATAGAACTCAGATAACGGGCCAAACCACTATGCTCAATTAATATTTAACAAAGAAGGCATGAACATACAATGGAGCCAAGACAGTCTCTTCAATAAATGGTGTTGGGAAAAGTGGACAGATACATGCAAAAAATGTAACTAGATCACCAATTTACACCATACACAAAAATAAACTCAAAATGAATACAGGACTTAAACATAAGACAGGATACCATAAAAATACTAGAGGAATCCATAGGCAGAGAAATCTCATACATATACAAAGCAATTTCTTCAACAATACAATTCCTAAGGCAATGGAAACTAAAGAGAAAATAAACAAATGGGAGTACATCAAAATAAAAAGCTTTTGCTCGGCAAAAGAAACCATCAACAAAAGAACAAGAAAGCCCACTGTATGGGAGAACATATTTGCAAATGTTGTCACTGATAAAGGTTTAATCTCCAACACCTACAGTTTAACAAAAGGAAGATAAATGTTCCAATAAAAAAGTGGGCAATGGACCTAAATAGAATCTTTTTGAAAGAAGGCAGAATGACGGTCAAGAGACATATAAAAACATACTCAAAGTCACTAATTATCCAAGAGATACAAATCAAAACAACAATGTGGTACCATCTCACACCTGGCTATCTTCCCTCAACAAATCAACAAACGACAAGTGTTGGCGAGGATGCAGAGAAAAAGGAACCCTCCTGCACTGCTGGTGGGAATCACACTGGTGCAGCCACTATGAAGAACAGTATGGAATTTCCTCAAGAAACTAAAAATGGCCAAGACCGGTTTGGTTTAGTTGATAGAGCGTCGGCCTGCAGACTGAAAGGTTCTGGGTTTGATTCGTGTCAAGGGCATGTACCTTGGTTGTGGGCACATCCCCAGTAGGGGGTGTGCAAGAGGCAGCTGGTCGATGTTTCTCTCCATCGATGTTTCTAACTCTCTATCCCTCTCAATTCCTCTCTGTGTAAAATCAATTCAATATATTAAAAAAAATAAATAAAAGAAACTAAAAATGGAACTCTCATTTGACAGTAATCCCACTTCTAGGAATATCCCAAGAAACCAGAAACACCAATCAGAAAGGATATATGCACCCCTATGTTCATACAGCACAATTCACCATAGCTAAGATTTGGAAACAGCCTAAATGTCTATCAGCAAAGAAGTGGATTAGAAAACTATGCTACATCTATACAATGGAATACTATGCTCCTATAAAAAAGAAGGAATTCTTACCATTTGCAGCAACATGAATGGATCTGGAAAGCAGTATGTTAAGTGAAACAAGCTAGGCAATGAAAGAAAAATACCACATGATCTCACTCATTTGTGGAAAATAAAGAACATTATAACTTGATGAACAAAAAGATAGATACAGAGGCAGTAAAGCACCAAACAGACTGTCAAATTATAGTGGGAAGGCTGGGGAGTGTTGAGGGGTGGGGGAAAGAGATCAACCAAAGGACTTTTATGCACGCATATAAGCACAACCAATGGACACAAGACACTGGGAGGAAGGGGGGAATGAAGGCATGAAACAGGGGGTAGGGGAAGCTGGGGGAAGGTCAATGGGGGGGCATAAAAGGAGATATACGTACTACTATATGCAATACTTTAAACAATAAAAAAATAAATAAGTAAAAATAAATAAAAAATAAGATAGCTGAGAATAAACTTAATCAAAGAAGTATAAGATTTGTACTAAGAAAAGTATAGGATGAATTTATTTAAAATTAATTTTAAAATTTCCATTACCATTTATACCCTCCATGTCCTCTTCCATCTCCACCCAACCCTTCCACCCCCATAATGACTACACTTTCGCCCATGTCCATGAGCACTTTCTATTTTCCCCTCCCCCTATTTTGCTCAATCCCTCCACAACCCTAATATCCCTTCCCCCAAGGTGTCTGCGTACTCTCTATTCTTAAAAACAGGCTCCCATTCAACTGGATATATCTTTTGTGATGTGATGTCTGAAATTGCTGTTCTGTCTTCACAGAGCTTAAAGATATTGCTGATACATAGAAAGGAGGGCCAATGTAATATCAGAGAAGTTCTTGACCTCCAGTGGATGACACCCAGAGCTAGCTAGCCCTGCCTAAAGACTTCTTGTTGAGCTTAAGCCAGTTTGAGATAGCATTTCTTGGTCTGGTTAAATCCTAACCAATGCAGCTACCTAAGTTAATAATTTTCTCTTTACAACTCCCCTGTACTTTGTACCTAAGTAGGTATTTCAGAGTCTGTGAAAATTGCGATTCATTCTCTAAGCATGAGCTCCAGTGGATTCTAAGGATTTGATAATAGTACTGGGTGGTATTAAAAAAATTTTTTTTAAATGGTACAGAAAAGGCAGTGATTCCCCCAGCGAACCTGAGCTTTCTCCTTCCCTCACTTGAGTACACATTTGGAACGTATATTGGTCTTCAAACAGAATTCTCTCCATGATACAACAGTGAATGTACTGAATTTTACTCAAAATTTCCTGGTTTATGAATGCCCTCAAACACCATAATTAAAACTTCACAAATATCTATTTAAAACACCTCTGTTTTTTTCTCCCCAAGTTTCTTCCAGGACAACAACAGTGTTTCATATCTTCTCTTTATACTCTACTCCCTTTCCTATCTTTCCTATAATACAGATTCTATTATCTGCTCTATTTCCCAAAGCAATGCAATGCCTCCCTTTGGCCTGCACAGCTGCTCAGCACCCTCACTCCCCACCCATTCACACAAAAGCCCACAATAGCCCCAATCTCACCATAGACATTTCATTACATAATATAGTCACTTCCTAGGGACAAATACTGTTGCCAACATATTTCACTTTTTTAACCATGTCAGCAAATATTTGACATGGTTAAAAAGTAAAATATGTTTGTTGTTCTCTACATTGGCAATTCTCTTCTAGTGACTAAGGAAGGAGAAAAATAAAAGCAATTATACACTTGTTGCATGTAAGCATATGTATATATAACTCAAGGAAGCCCTTTTCTCTCCTTCTCTCTCTCCCTCCCTCCTCTCCCCAGTCTGTCATTCCTGCCTTCATACTTTCTGCCTTCTCTTCTCTGTCTGCTACAGAGCACTATGAGGAGTGGGGGGAAGAGATCAATCAGAGGACTTGTATGCACGTTCTATGCCCCTCCTCTCTGTCTGCTACAGGACTGGAAATCCTGAGGTCTCTTGACACACAGTTTTCTTGTTCAGCCTGATGTGTACAACTGGGGAAAGTTTGAATCCCCACTAACTCTATTAACCCAGACTAGTCATGCAAAAAAACCCTAGACCAAAGATAGTTTCTCTAGTGAACCTTGGGAGGAAAGGGTGTCACTTTCAAACAGAACTAGCCAATCCTAAACTTGCTTATCCTGCCTTTCCCAATCTTTCTCATAGGAGCCACACTAAAGTCACTTGCCTATAGTTCTGCTCTCTACCTCACATGACTGGCCCTGGTGTGTCTCCTGAGTGGCCACATAAGGCATGTTGTGTTGCCTCAGTAAACTGACTACAAATGACCTCTTTCTCTCTCTCTCTCTCTCTCTCTCTCTCTCTCTCTCTCTCTCTCTCTCTCTCTCTCTCTCTCTCTCTCTCTCTCTCTCTCTCTCTCTTTCTCTGCCTGATGTTATTATAACTCATTCAAGGCAATTGGTTAACACACTGGCAACCATGGCTTAAATGATCTAGGAACCTAAATGCCTCTTTTGAGGCAGAAGAAAGCAATGAATGGTGAGAGGGCTGACCAAGGGCAGGAAGGGGAGGGGGAGGCCATGTGTCCTCAAAGAGCTGTAAGGAAATTGCATGGTAAGTCCCTGATCACTCACTGCAGTTCTCAGTCTCATAAGATGACGGACTCTTCTATGAGAGCCAGCTCCAAGAAGAGAATCCAAAGCCCAGCACATTTCAGGAAGCCACCTGGACTCAGGTCAGCCCCCTGCACTGCGAATGCTCACCAGCACAGTGCTTTTCAACAGGCGTGCTGACACGTTTC